TTAAATATTTAATAGCTACAGAACCAAAAAATCTTGTTAAGTATACTTTTATGAGGTTAGAATATTACTTTATAGTAGTTTTAGATGAAAATCAACTTATCTAATCAAACTAAACTAGCGCAGTAAAGATGGTATAAAGGTTGAAGTTTATTAGAATATTAAATTGATATATACAAACTAAAATAAATTATTAAGACCTATAGTTAGTTGAAATCTAAGAAATGTTTGAAATTATACAGTTCATTAGTTAAAGAAATAATTACAAAATCTATGCGGAGGAACCTTTTTTGCAACATATTACATTTTTAACACCATTTAGGTGAAATAAAAATTAATTTTATTAATTGATTAATATTAAGTTAAATAGATTAAAGAAGGGTACATGTCTAAAAATATGTGTTAAAACACGCTTATTATGGTTTATTAAAGATCAGATTTTGGTTTAACTCTCCTGGAGATGTGACTTTAAAGACTGCGTGGTATAAAAACTCCTCGAATTTAAAACAAAAAGCTAGTAACTTCAACGAGTGGTATAGGAGATAGTCAATGTACACATTCTAATCTATATCACTAGTTTATTGTATGTTCTATATTAACATATTAGTAACGTTAACGAGGGAGATTATAGGGAAAATAGTTAATGCACACATTAATCTATATTACTATATTTAAATCCTGTATTAGCTTATAAAAGAAAGACCGAGTTATTGGTTTGCAGTCTAAACCCTTTTTTTCGACTACTAGGCAATTAAAATTGAAACCTGTGAGGAAGAGATAATAATTTTAATGGATCCCAAGGTTTCTCAACAGTCAGCATGGTGATGGTATAAGTACATTTACGCCATATCATTACGCCCCAGAAGAATAATTCACAGGAATTTTTGGTTGACAACAAGTAAGGCAAAGTATACCCAACTATGCTAATAATTAGAAATAAAAAAAGTTCTCTATAGCTTAAAGTAAGTTTAGCAAAAAATCGATCACTAAGTCAGGTAATAATATTACGTTTTATTTACAAACTTTTTTAAAAAATTTTAAAACCCATAAGTAAGAAGGGGGCTAGTTATTGTAAAATTATCAAAGTTGTAGACTCCTACGGAATTTAATCTTTTCTTTAGAAATATAAAGAGAAGCTCAATGCGTACATTTTTTTAAGTAGAAGAGATCTTTTAATTAACCATATACAGTTAATTGCGCGCGATTACATAAACAATATTACTAAAAGATATAAGTAGTATAGAAAATCATTCAACTATTACATTGTGCATGCTAATCTGATGGCTTTAACAATCCATTACAGTGGTGGTATAAACTTGAAAAATTTATCTAATAGAGGATCATTACATTTGGCCCTACACATATAATTAAATGCACAAAATGTATTAAATATATCTATATTTGCAAAAAGTTCCATAATAATATATAACGGTAACTAATTGTCAGCATCCTCCTATTTTTAAATGTAAAACAAGTTATTTATTGTTTTAAACCTTCAATTATTTTATCAATGTAGAAGTCGGGTGAAAAAGCTTTTTATTTTTTTTTGTTTTACCAAAGAAGAATTGTTCAAAGCACAAGTTTTTCTGTCTTCCTTTTTTTATTACAAAGCATTATTCATTTTAGGCCCCAATTTGAGCTCCGGAAAATTAGTTAGTTATATAAATTTGTAGCTTACCCAGTCTAATAACTAACTAGCAAAGCACCTCTCGCGCGCTCTCTTAGTTTTTTACAGAATTTAGTTGGGGACCCACTCTATCTAGAAATTTTCAATATTTTTAAAGAGATTTTGAAGGGACTTTAGTATTCACTTAATACAAATAAAAAGTATTAAAATATTCCTAAAGAAATTTTTACTTCACTTTTTTCTCCCTATTCTTCTAGGCACTTTCCTTCATGTCTAAAATATTATCATTTCCGTTAACCTTTTTTTCTATTCAATTAAGTTAATATTCTCTTTTGTTTACAAGTCTAAACTATCTTCTTAGTTCGTAGATCTTATTTTTTTACTGGAAAACACGCTTATGCGATAAAGAAATGCGAGTTAAACCAAATAGTGTACTAAGTTTAATAAAATACCTCGAAAATATATGAAACCGGCCTTTACTTTGCCGAACCTCCATGTTAATTAATTTTAACTTAAGACAAGAGTTCATAAAGACTTCTAAAATTTGAAATAATAAATTTCCAAAAAAGGTCTGAAACAAAAGCTTAAATTAATGAAAACCACTAAAAAAATTATTTTCTACAGTGTTAGTTAAAGCGCCCCACTCACGTGGTCTCTCGAGTTGACTGTAGCGCTTATAAAAATTACATTGACATGAAGAGAGTTTGCAACTTTCTTAAACTATTCTGAAACTGCACCCAAGGAACAAAGATAAGAGAGACTGAGTGTGCAGTTTTTTCGAATAATACATACTAAATATGGTATTGCGTGTGGTAGGTTTTCCATGTAATCCTTGTAGGACAATTGTAAGCATTGCGATTAATATCAAAGAGGGTTTTTGTTTACACTGTTAACCATAAATAATTAATACAACAAAATTGTACAATCAGCTAATAGAAGGGTCATTTAATGCGAGAGGGAGGTTATCCTGACCGTTGTTTTTTATGAAAATTTTTAAATAAATACAGAACATTGGAACATTCCTACAATAAGGTTTGACTTTTTTAAGTTCATGGTCATCATGATTTATTTTGTAGACGTGTTGTTTTGTAGGCACAGTAAACCTTTTTTTACAGATGGGTGATAATTTATGTGACCGGAACCTGTCTATCTCACACGTGTAAGTATATCCACTGTGAACTATATACAGAAGGCTTAGAATATATGGCGACAAAGCAGCTTAATTTTTTTTATATTCTATTCGCTTTTAACTCTTTATAAAAACAAAGTTTATATAATAATCATTTTGGCTATCCCGTTAAAACTAGTAGCAAAAAATTACATAAAGATTGATTATTAAAGTTTTATTATCGAAAATTGACTTTTTATTTTATCATTGGAGCTATGTAATATTGAAATTTTCCCTCCTATAAACAAAGTATATCTTCAAATGTACGCTTCATGTAATTAGTTTATAAAATATTATAAATTATTAAAAATATTTATTCTTAATACGAGATCTTCACCTTAACCTTATTTCTTAAATAAACCGAAGCATGTTTACTCCATTGACAAATTTAACTGAATTGTAAGTTTTTTCATCTATTTTTCCTCTGGTTATATTGGAAATATAGCACATGTTTTAAGAAGTGTACATAGTTTAGGTGACTTATTATTTAGGAGTAATTTAGTTAATTTAGCTGTCTTATTTATATAATAATGTGGTTACTTCCGTTTTCAATACTAATTTTTTTAGTTTGTTGTTAATTTTTATATATAAGGTTGTTTTTACGGTATAAACATTGAGTTATAAAAAATTTTGTTAAGGTATATCCAAGACTAATAAAATACAGAGTTATTAAAAGTCTTTAGACACAGCAATGATATAGTTGATAGGCATGAGCTGGGTTTTCCAACACCAAACCCTTAAATTCCCATAATTTTTTATGAACAACGCCGTGCGAGAGCCGTTCCGTATTTATAGAACGTTTTTGCCCTCGTGGATACAAAGAAATCGTTATTTCTTGTTTTTCAAGCATAACGTCCGTATAGAGTAATCTCATCAAATTGTGTCGAAAAAATTGAAGACAGTTCTTTTTCAACTCTGAGTGAGTTAAATTCATTTAATAACTATTTATTGACTATAATTGAGAACCATTCTTATTTTTAAGGAAGAATAATTTTTTATTATATATCGCCCTGGGGGCTTAATATACGATTGTATAGTAATTAATTCTTGCGAACATATTTATTCGTTATCATGTTTTAAAGGTATTTCTAGTAAGTCGCTTAAAACAGTTTCCATAAAATTCATAACAGTATTTATTGTTATTTTATCTACTCCTTTCCAAAAATTTTAATATGAAACTATACCTAAACTTTTATTAAGCCAACCTACACTATAAAGCATCAGTTCTGATTATTTAATTTTGCTTTTAAACTGCATTAGAGTAAAAACTTATGTAAAAAATAGAGGCCTCAAAGATAATAAGATAAGTCTTTTGATGACCAAACGTTTTTTGGACCAACCTCCTTGCAGACATTGTAAGTTTTCGAGTTGAAAGTAAATTAGTTCCTAATTATCAATAGCAATCAAGTTGAAAAGATACTTTTTAATATTTACTTTCTCTTTAAAACTAGCGAAAAATACAAATAAACTATTTTGGCTTGGCAAAACTAAAACTTAATTTTTAGGGACCTAAGTTCTAATAATGTTACGGTTATACACGAAAAGGCGTATAACGACCTATCCAGTTAGACTTAATTCTCTCATAAACCCAATTTATCATAGAGCGAAAAGTATCAAAATGTATCGTGCATAAAATTCTTTTGTTGAAAAAATTAAGCATATAAAAATAATCTTTACAGTTAATAGGTAAGGTACTTATTAAACAAACAGTCAAACAGACTTATAATAATATAGAATAATTACTCAAATTATTTTTAGTGATTCACTACTTCTTCAGAAATTAAATACTTAACCAGGCGGACGGCACGCCGAATATAATTAATAGTGCCTAACTTTTATTATTTTTATAATGATTGAATAATAGCTTACAATTTTATTTGGTTTATATTATACCAAAATAGTGCCACTGAAAGATGTAATTTAATTAAAAGTTTGTTCTTTAATCTAATTAATTTTATGCTGGGAATTTTTTACTAATTAATCTTAACAAAACTTAACTTGAGTTTTTAATTTTTAAATGGCTATAAGATATAAAACTTTATTGTGTTCGGGTTAAGGTTAGGGAGATAAAGCGAGCATTGTCTCCTCCAGTTAATTGACTGCATATAATAGCTCTACTAGACTATAAGTAGTTAACCAATTCTAACAGTAGCACACAAGTTAAATTAAAATTTTATTTCTTACAAAATCATCACAAAATATTCTTACCCCTCCGACTTTCTTCCTGGCAGAAAATGCTGTTGATAGTATTAAGAGCGCACTGACAGCTATTAACTCTGGCACGAAGTTGTATATAGCCCTGATCGTCTACCAAATATATAGTAGACCTGTAATCGCAACCGGTTGATAGTCGCTGTCCCTACAACTGATGTTAAACCTTCTTCACAGACACATCAGAAAAAAGCTGACCGCTTTTCACAATAGTCGCCAGGAAGCAAAACTGCAAAACGTGTCTGTAGCGGCCGAGGAAGGAACTACTATCTTTTTTGCGCTTTGTCAAACGAAATAATAACAATAGCCAGACGGAACCTCTGTCACTTAATAATGGCGTAATTGTAACTGAAAGCGCGAAGATAAATTAGCGCTTTGTGCTAGTCCTCCTCCTGCTCATTGCAGTCTTTCACTTAAATACCTTCAGGGTTGAAGGCGAAATAATGCATGAACCCTCAACCGTTGGCGACGGACTTATAAAACAGAGCAGAACTGATGTAATGGCTCTTCTAATCTTTGCAATTTCGCACTGGAAGCATTCAACCCCAAAGACATTATTACGAGATGCTATCAAATTTATGCTGGTGGCAATTAACCAGCTTTCCTGTTTTGCAAATTTAACTGCGTCTCTTGGTACCTCCCTTCCACGATTAAAAAGAGCCACTGTTGCAACGCTATTTAAGACTTTACCAGGCCCCAGTAAATATCACCTCATTAGCCTTTCGTCAGGAAATACAGCGCCACTGGCAGAGTTTATAGAAACACAGGTAGCGTTTTCAGAATTCCAATAGGGATTTCGAAATGGCCACTCAACGACAACACCACACCTCTTGCGCTTTTTTGAGTGGACACTACGAAACTTTAAAGCCTTTAACCCGCGTTTGACCCAAGAATTTTCTTTGCAAACTACGCACACTTTGTTTACCTTCTACTATGTATACTGGCATTGTTTCTATGTGGTCTCACGTGAGATTTGGCACTGCACTGGTCTTATATCGTCCAAGGACAGCTGGAATTTGTTTAACTCTCTGCTATTGTCTCCGCCCTTTGCGCTGTACACGCGAGGTGTTCGAATCCCTTCAATTTCTCACACCCCCGTCACCATTTACGCCGATGCCATTGCAGTGTACGCGAGTCCCTCATTATTATGAAAACTCCTAAACTCCATATAAAAGCACACTTGCTAACTGATTTAGGCAGTGGAAGGCCACTATTAATGTAGAGAAAAGTAGAGCTATTTTCATCATAAGAAGAACTACACACCCGTCACCTCTAGCTTTCCAAGGTTTTTAGGTCCCATGTAGTTCTAAGGTAAACACTTAAGCGTCATCCTCGATAAGCAACTAACTTGACGGTATCAAGTAATATGCGTTAGGGTTAGGGCCCAAACGGCAACCCACATAATTACGTCTGTATAAAATGTGCGTGCAGTAATTATATAACTGTGGGACGCAACAACACAAGCTTTTGCGGCTAAGAACCTGTTAATAAGCAAATAAATTACCGGTGGGCTTAAGAACCCAAATACAAATCCTGGATAGGCGAACTACTGCGGATTGTCTAAGATTTAAGCACACATTTGTTGTTTGTATAGCTCTACGGGTACTTACATATATATATATAAATTTTGAGAAGACTCCGGAAACTGAATATGAACTACGCTAAATTTTATACGTTATCATTCGAAACCGAGCACTCTGAGCTAGAAATTACAGAGCATTCACGCAAATCAATAAAAAAAATTTTTTCATAGATCTCTTCAGAATAAATTGTAGCGCAAGAATGACAAATCCAAAATAAAAAGAGTAAAACTAGAACTCTTTTACTATGTTACTTTGCATTGCATTCAACGATTAATCTCTTAAACGAGTACGTGGTTTTCAAGGTGTCATACATACTTCTTGCTCGAGCGCATCTTAACATGTGTATAATTTATCAAACAATATATTATATCAAACTTTTTTCAGTCTACGCGTGTATGCTTAACCTATTATTAAAATCTGTAAAATTAATGTATGTAGCTACCAACTTCAAAAAGTTACTAAAAAAAAATATTAGTAAAGCTTATATTAAATATAACAAGCAATTAAGGTTCCATGGGTATAAAAATTTTTATGAATACTTATGTCTTTGCAAATTGAGGCTTTTTGATTTTTGTTAATGCTGCAATTAGAAGAAAGCAAGAGAGAATACATTCCAAAACATTATATCTAGCAAATTAAATCCATTGGGCAACCACTACTAAGTTTTATAAAATATTATATTATGTTACCTATGAACCGAAAATGTATGCTTTGTAAATCTTACTGAAAAAACATTAAATTTAAGAAACAACTGTTTTTACAATAACCTTTATAATAGCGCGCTCCAAAGGCGAGCTACAACATTTAGGTGCAACAGAGTAGCAAGTTAATAAAGCTATGCTTCATTTGTTGATACTACAGCTACACAATGCTAACTGTGAATAGTGAGATCTAAGTGAAGGTAGATAGTTTTTAATATGAAAATATGTAAAGATTGTTCTTCCAGTCTCAACTAAAGCGGTTACAACCTGCCTTGACAAAAACTAAGAACCCTTAATGCAAGCGAAAAAGGAATTGTCCAACAATACTTTAAGCTTAAAATATTGAAACAAGCGATTCTAAACTATTTATTATTGATGCATTGACAAACAGAAAAGTTAATACTACTGTCTTCCCTGTATTATTTCCCTTTTCGGTGGAACTTTGCGGAGTCAAAGGTGTCGACATGGTCATGATTGTAGATACAGAAGGTACAGCTTCAACAAATGATTTGGCTGGTGTTTTAGGTGTTTATTGGGAGTCACATTTATTCAAAACAAAAGCAGTAATTAATTCTCTTTGGCCCTCATGAGAACAACTGACATCAGGAGTAATATTATAGATAGAGGTGTAGAATGAATTTTTTCCTTTAGTGTTATATTTCTAAAGATAATAAGTAGCGTTGTGACAAAAAAAATTTAACAATAATAACATAAAGAGTGATAAAATGATTATCGAGCAATAGGAAAAAGCATATTTTTAAATTCTAACTAATAACTTTTATAATAACTAGGAGTAATAAATTTCAGAGGTCTAATAGTTATTTTTTAAAACGGGTGTTGGCTTCCGGTAAATAAGGAATTAGAAGTAAGAAAAATATATTGTGATAGTGTATAAATATTTTTTAAAGCAAATATACAATCGTAAAAAAGACTATTATAAAGCGTGTTACATACAAATCCATCAAGCCGTTTAAGTTAGAAAATGCAGTGTTCCACAGTTTCAAAATCGTTATCGTTGTGGTTCCTTAATAACTAAAAAAAAGCGTTATTTAAAGCGCAAACAATATTTATTCGAAAGGTAAGTAGGTAATGTTTACGTTAGCCTTCTATATTACATAGTTTATAAAATACAAGCTCTTTCTAAAGACTAAACAAATAGCCTACTGCAACTTAAGATATATTTCCTATTTTATAAGGGTTATAATATATATAGTACAGGCTGGTAAGACTGCTTAAGTTGAAAAATAATCGGCAGCTGTAGATTTCAGGTTATTATTATTATCTCTAAATTTATTTAATATAATATATATATATATATTTATTAGATATATAAAATACCGGTTATATAACTTACAAAACGAGTAAACTTAGAAGATTTTTGTATGTGCCTCTTTCGATTGCATTAATGCTGTTCAGGGCAAGACTCCTTTAAAGATAGGTTTAACTTATTTATCTATAGGATTTTTAATTTTATAAAACAGCGCTGTATAACTCGTTTTAACAAATTAAAGTTAAATAAGTATACTAACAATATTTCCGGAGCTGTTAGCTTGTTAAAAGTCTTTTCAGGAAGGGACATAATTTTGCTAACTGCAAGATTTCTATTTATAACAACGATATAAAGTATAAAATTTTTACTAACCTACAAACTTTATGTAGTAAGGATTTGCTAAGCTGCCTAATCTCAATAATTTGAGCTGGAAGGGCAACTCAAATATTGAGTTTGCAGCTGTAATACCCATCAACTTACAAGTTTGTCTAAAATAATACGCTAAAGCAGAGCTGTACCTCGAGCGAAAACCAGAACCTTGAAAACTGATATACTTTGAAATATTTCTTTAATTAAAAAGATATTAGGTAAGGACAATATATAAGAAGTCTACTTAAAAAGCAACATTCCCCTAACGACTGCACATAGAAATCTAATTTTAATAGAAACTTTTGAAATTATAATTATCCAATCATTTTAGTTTATACTCAGGATCAGAGAATGAAAATTTGATGTTAATAGGCAATTCAAGAAAAAAACCTATTTTTAATCAACCATTACTCCTGTGGATGTGGTAAAGTTTGAAAAACCAGTAATATTATTAACAAAAAATATGTATATAAACTTTATTTAAAACAACGAAGGAAACCATTGAAAAGTTTAGATCCAAGATTAGGAAAGAGAACAACCAAGTTATTCCCCAAGTTCGCACGTATTAATATTTGCAAAAGCCGTGAAAATTTTAATAAATGCACGTGCACATTGAAGTATGAGAAAGTATTACAGAATGCTTTCCTTTACCCATCTTCGTTTTAAAGCTAAATTCTTCTACTTCTTAAACAGATTAAATTTCTAGATGAGATGACGGTATGGCTGCTATCATCATAAATAATATAATTAAAACGCTTTAATGAAAAGCTTGAGAAACTAGTGATTGTACAGGCGAACCAAGTTCCGCAATCAGGAGAATGCTCTAAGCGGGCTGTACCTTTGAAAGCTAGCACAATTGTTTAACAGAGCGATCTTGATAAAACTTGAACATAAGGTCCTTCAGGCTATTTAGCTTTCCTCTTTGCATCATGTTTTATTAAGGCACCATTAGGATAGTACCATTCGATTAAAGTTGACGAGAATTTATATGTAATCGAGAGCCCAGTATACGACTGTTTGTTCTGGGTAATTCTGAGGTAATTACGACTTTAATGCCAGGTTCCCCCATTTAAGGGTATGTTGTGCCCCTTTTAGTAAAGTAACATGAGTACGTTATGCATTCTCTTCGTTTGTGGTAGCGCCAGCCTGAAGACGGTTGGGTCAATTTTTTTAATATTAATTAATGACCAGAAGGTTTTAATATTTCTTTGGTTTGACAATACTAAGCCCCCTTTTACCAATGCCTAATCGCTTCCGTTTGCACGACGTTCTTGCTCAAACTGAATAGATTTTAAGCAAGCTCTTAGCACAGCCGGTAGATACATTAAAATATTAGTTTTAACATATGTTCCTAAATCTCAGGAATGCGAAAGTACAGTAGTATCAGGTTGGAAAGGGACTGTACTAGGCCAAAAAGGCGTAACTCTAGTAGAGTAATCAAGAAAAAGTTATTCGACTCATTCATCATGAGGCTAGTTAAAGAAACGTCTAAGATCTTGTTACAACTTTAAAAGAGTCTTATGTTCAAGGGTGGAAATGCAAAGAATAGACTGACCTCGCTACCCAAAACTTCAAAGAAACTGAGGATTTCCAACGGAAACGATATTCTACTTAAACCCGTAAAGCTGAAACAAGATCTTTGCAGAACAATCAGTGACGTCTTCAAACGTTATGGCCTTAAAAACTGGAATAAATTGACATATTCATTAAATAAGGAAGTTAAATCCCGATTCAAAGAAATACCTATTACAACATCTATCGATATAACCTCCCAGAAATTTTTTGGAATGAGTTTCAAAAGTCTGTACGGTTTGGATGAGGTTTCGTTCTCTGGCAGATGCCACAATTCTAGATATAATTGAGATCTTTATCTCCGTTCTGGTCAATGAAACTCGGTATACCTGTTCACATATCATGAAGATTCCATAATGCCCACCCAAGATTTGGAAATTCTGGGAAGAAATGGTTAGCTCACTTTTATAATATAAGACCGAGTTCGTAGATGTAAATTAATTGTGGAATTTCCTTTTCTTTTTAAATCGGACAACTTAAAAATTGTGTCAGCAGAAGTTATGCAAAAATATATTTCCATTTGGACTTGCCATCTGAAAACAATCAAAGGGGCCCGAACAATTAACGTGTTGAATATTCTATGATAAGTAGACGCGGCTGGTAGAATTAAATTTGATCTCGAAGTTATTTAACCATGTAAAAAACATACTTTTGTTAAAAAAGTAAATGCTTGTAAAGGTACTACAGAAAAGTAATAAGGTAGTAACTATCTACCCAAAATTCCGAGTTTATTATTGTTAAATCCTTTTAGTTTCTGAAAAATATACTTTTGCTACTGTTTGCTAGCAATCTCAGCTTATAAATTTTTTTTTATCATATAATATAAATATATTTTTTTAACGTATTATTTTTTTCTTTTAATAAGTGATGAATACCTTTTTGAAGAGAGCGTTCTTATTATTAGAATTTTGACTTAAATTTTCGTACTATAGCTTAGTTAAGTTTTCTCCATCAGAAAAATTACTATCTCAATTTTAACACAATATAAAGAATTCTAGCCGTATCAGTACACAATACAGTGCAGAAAAGGTTTATATAAAGAAAGACGTAGTTTAAATTTTCTTAAATAATGCCCACGTAAATTTTAAAATCGCCGTAGGCGATTTTCTCTTACCTGCTTAAGAGTTGTGTGAGAGTAATTATAAATTAATTGCTTTGTAATGAGAATGGGATTAGCGTGTTACTTCCATTATTACTCATTGTAACCCCCTCTTCCGTAAATTTTTTTTTAAAAATTAATAAGTATTATAAAAAAATTACTCAATTTTTTTTAAAAAAAAATAACATAATAAACATTAACGCTCTTCTTGTTTCAGGACACTCTCAAGTTGAGTGATACGTTTGAATTCACCTTGCAACGCGCTGTACAAAACATGTTCAGTATAAGCGTTCTAATAAAGAAATTAGCTTTAGAGTGGGTGCGAGCAATAAAAATAGAGGAAATACTTCAGCCTTTCTCAAAAGTCCTCTTAGAAGTAAAACTGCTTTGTGGCAGTAGGGACGACCGGCGGCTGCACTGTACACTTTGCTGAGCCTCAAAACAGACTCTGCCAGCTTCTCAAAGAGACTACTCAATAAAGTTGAGGCCAAGAAAAACGCAAAGTTTCACAACAAGATTAACTTTTCTTCGTGTTCCCAGCTTGATGCTGAAAGTGCTCGATAGGCTCTTAATAAAAAGTCGACTTCCTGAGAAAAGCACATAGCAGTATTTCAAGAGCTCAGAAAACAAAGGACTACCTTGTCCCAAACACCAAGGAACGAGCGCCAGTGCGCAGAGCAGCCAGAAGCACGGGTCGGTGATGCCTACATTGCCGATGCATTCCAGCATTTGAGAAGTTTTTTCAGTAAGTGTGTGCCCTGAAAAAAGTTTTTTAAAATCTTAATGAAATATTAATAAAGAAAAATATAATAATAAAAACAGTCGACGCTATTTATTTCATATTGCCGCGCCCTTTGCATAATCAAGTCCAGCAAAAGAGTCAATTGCTACAAGTGCAGGAAAAGATGGATGCGCAGAACACCAAGTGAGGAAATTACCGGCAGGTTGTCCCATTTAGTTCGAAGGTTGACAATTTCGGAAACAGCCTCAAGGCACGTGCACACGTCTTCGAGCTGAAGGCTGACGGTAAGTAGGTTTTCCCAAATTCTCCAATGAGAACGGTTGCATTTCAGACCTTCCTTATAAGCAGTTTGCGCACCATTACTACAGTTAAGTCGCTATTAACAAAATAACATATAGAAAGCGTTGACCCTCACATTTCCTCCAGCTTAGTCAATACAGCGCCGAGATTGGACCAGGCCTCTGCATTCTGTGCAGAGGAGGAATCACGAGACGCACTACTGGCAAAAGTGTTGCAGAAAAAAATCTCTGTCCAAAGAAAGGACGTGCCGGAACGCACTGGCTGCCAGCGGCCACCTCTTGCAGAACATTGCCGCGCAACCCAAACTAAACCACGTTTCTAGCATCAGAACATTACTTAGTAATAAAAGCAAAGTGCCAAGAAACCCACGAGGGAATATGGGATTGATATTAAGAGCGGTCTGAAAGCACTCAATGCACCTTTCATGCTGGCCAGCCTTCAGATAATGACGCCCCAGAGATCGCATGGCTCTGGTGTACCGATGGCCTGCAATTCCGAAGTTAGCGAGGCGCAGGCAGTGGTTAACAGATGGCTAGTACCGGACGTTTCCCAAGCAGTTTCATATTCGGAATGGTCCCCGGTGATATCGCCTATTGAAGCAAGATGAGGGGCATGCGGAGTAAAGCGTGTCATCCGCAACATGCCCAAGTAACAACGCATGAGCGGCGAGTCCTCCAATGCTAAACGGCACCGGATAACGGCTAAAGCCTTCTCTGTTTCTCCAGAAATGATGTGACTTTTTACGACATCCCCCCATAATTCAAGGCCCTCGAAAAGCTCACGTGCGCTCCTGGAGCAGCCCATCGAGAGCAAGAGATATCCCAGCTCTCGCTAAAAAGACCTGTCAGATGAGCACCAACCAACCGCGGTTGTCGGTTACCCTTAAAGAATGGTTTGGCGGGAAGGCGAGGGCATAGATAAACTTTATGCGCTCTGAAACAGGCCCATCACTGTACTTGGTGTCTTCAAACTGATCTACTAATACCTGACGAGGATGGACTGCTCAGGTCTAGGTCAAGACAAGCAATGCCGATTAAAAAAAACCTGCAACTGCAACGCAGCTCGCTCTGCTTTTTTCATATGCTTAGCCTCCAGTCGCGACGCAGTAGTAGTGCAAATGCACAAATCATCCAGTTATTGTTATTTTTTTCTTCTAAAACTCGCTGGGGAGCAGTATTAAAACCATAAAACTTTTACATAGTGAAACAGATGTTTACATTAACGTAAGGAAACATCTCATCAGCCGTAAGTCCATGCACTGGGTTGGTGTTCTTTACGTTTACACTGCAAAAAGGAGCAACTTTATAGGAGAAACTAAGAACCTTGGTTCTTCTGTACCAGGCAGCTAAGACAATAAGCTGGTCATAGAGGCCGAGAGAATGGTGCGGGATTTCCTCCTCGTAACAAATACTGGAATACAGCGTGTCACTCTCTAAAGCCACATCCTGCGGACGGTGTCCAGGTTCCTCAGGGACGCAGCTCTCTTGTAAAAAAAAATTAAGAAGGTAAAAGAGGAATATATTTTTTCTAGAAACTGTTGTTTTCCACAAGTAACGTGAGCTGTGGGAGTGGCGCGCACTGATATTTGGTACGTTTGCCGAGAAACCCGGTCAACCTCAAATTTAGGCCATTTAACGCTTTTGCTTTTTCGAGAAAAGTCTTATCCATTGGCGCAAATTAATAAGGCAGCAATAGTATCATATAAAACCACAGCAACCTGCGCCTCAGTCACGTCATTGTACTGGTAACAGGCACACACGCACTTCAGCGATAATAAGGTTGTAAGCTCTTTTCTATTATAATGTAGAAAAACAGAAACTTTAACTAAAGATTTATGAGAAAAAGGAAACCTGCACGGGATCTTTTGGATCCAGCTAGAAGAGAGCGCTAGAAAAAATGAGGAGTAATAAGCCATAAAGCGTAAAAATCTACTCACCGCTTTCCATGTGACCAAAATAAATATCACGGAAACTCTGAACGTTATGCTCAAGCATCCTTTGATGAAATAGAAAAGCACGGGCGCGCCACAACCCTGCAGTCTTGGACAGAGTAGAATTGTATGTTAAAATAATAATAAAGGCAGAAAATTAATATAGTTACTGAAAAAATAGGCAATAACGACTCCAAAAGTGCCTCTGCTAATAGAAGCAAAAAAGGTGAAGTAACTAAGCGATAACAACTCTCTCCACATTTCTCTAAAAGCGCCAGACAATCCTTATGTAAGACCTAAAAGAAACACACTTAGCTTGCGATAGTGTAGACTAGCCACTGTTATACTTCTGTAGGATAATTAGAATCAAGCTTAATAATATCTGTGAAGTTAAGTTTAAGACCAGGTCCAGTCCAATTTTCCTATAAATGTGTGGCAGGCAAAAAGAAACGTATTTAGTAAACGAATTAAGTGCTTGGACGAAAGCTTGAAGGCAGGCTGCTCCCAATATTAAAACGTCAAAGGGATTGTTATATACAAGAAATAAATTTAACCTTTTAGGTAGGTGTATAAGGATTTCTACAACATACTTTAGTAGAAACTACAAAAAAAACTAAAAATAAAAAGTACCTTTTATATTTTTACTATCTTTAGATAAATATTCAAAAAAAATCTAGGGCCACTGAAGATTTTAAAAGCTCTCTGTAATTTGACTTTTTAAAAGATTCGAAAAGTGTTTGAGAGAGCACTAGGATAAGTAGTTAAAACTTTTTGGGAGTTGAAGATTCGAAATATTGATCAAATAAACCTGGTAGCTTCAAAGTTGGAGGAAGATCATAATCAGGGAAGAGTAAGGACAGTTGGAGATCATCGCCTATATCACAACCCTCCACAATATTAACCGCCATTTACATAAATACTTTTTTTTTTATACCAGAACAAACTCTGTCGTATACAAACACTAATCAAGAACAATTTCAACAGCTTTCCTAATATAAGGACACCAATGTTGCGGTGTCAATCCTTGCTTTCTACTTACGAGGAACAGGAACACCCTCGTGGTAGCAATTTTTGTATTCAGATGGTTACTTGAGTTGACATTTTAAAATGAAATTATATTTTAAGCAACCTTTAATCGCATTTCAACATTTAATAATTATAATTTTTATAGACAAAAAAACTATCTTTAAAAATTACTAATTAACTGAAACATTATGCCCGAGTTATTTAAACTTTGCAACTAAATAGAGATACACTACGTATTAATATAATGGTGAGAACTTTTAAAATATATAGCTTTCATTATAAGAGCTGATTTACGTGTAGAGTTTTTTGCTGAGTCAATATTCGCTCTTTGCAAATTCTTTTTAATACATTTGGGATTAACTGGAAGAAAATTAAATTATTATATTAAGGGGGCATGTGAAAAGTGGTATAGTTCATGTAGTTTTTATTAATTAATAATATATGCATACCACTATCTCACCATAACTCAGATACGAATATTACACATCATTGCTAATTCTACTTCCTATAACGATGCCTTGAAAAGTTAAGTTATTAAAACTGCATATATCTAATTCTTAATTTTAAATACAAATTTCTTTAAAATATTAAAGATTACAATAAATGTGTTTTAATAGTTTACCAGCGATGCTCATAGTTTATGAAGTGCACCTGTAACTCATAAAAAACGTTCTACACCCGTCACGCCATGTTTTAACTGTTGAAACGAAGAATTTTTAACTCTATTTCGCCCTCATTGTAATTTACAACAAATATTTAACCAAAGCGCAATAGTAAATATATAGAGTGTCTATTTGTAAAACCTGTAGCCTTTTACTAGAGCGCAACTAAGCTAAAAATAAGGGGGTCAAAACAAGTTGGTATTATGGTTTTTAAGGATATGTTTTAGTGAAGTTAGTCATGTTTTTTGTCAAAGCAGTTTTAAACCCAATGTAACACCGTGGTATCAGCATACGAAGATAAGGGGTATTAAAAAAAATACAAGCCCTTGTACGGTAAACCGCGAAGGACAACAGCTGAAAAATTTAATTGGTGATAATATTAAATTGATTATTCTTCGCGTTTATGTTTTTAGTATAAATACCATGGAGATCTTACAAGAAAAAGAAACCGCTTCGTTTGCTTGTCTGACGAACTAAAAGACCTTTACCTGCCAGAGTCTGCGCCTTATCCGAGCGACCATGCTGTCACAACCAGCGCTAAATCGATTGGAATGATCCATTCGGTAGAAGTTGACGACGCAATTTTATCGTAGATGGGAGGTCAAGTATACTATTTATCGGAGGCAGGCGACAGCGGCCCTTCCTATTTCTAAAATTTTGTAAAACAGGTCAGATATCGAGGTCATACACTACTACTACCCCTTCGCGAAGGCAAAATTGAGGCCGAGAGTGGTGAAGACGAAGCTACGCTTTTCGCTAAACCTTTCGCTGCCAAGGATGTGTTATCTCCCCTCACTGTTGCCATTTGTGCGCTTCTTCAGGGAAGCTTTCCCATGGCCCATGCCAAAGATAATTTACTGAAGAAATTAAAGACTCCTGGGGGTGGGGACCACAAAAAAAACCACGATTCAAAAAAAAATGTCGTGCACGTGCCATCATATATATATATATTAGTTAGCCCTCGTCTATACAATTATTAAATTTTTATTCTATTGATATTATTCAGTTTTATTAATTATTATTACATTATTATTACTTTAGATTTTTATTTTATTTACGTATAGTTTATAATTATATATTTTTTATTATTTTTACTTTATTGAGTTCTATTTATCATTATTAGAGTTATATATAATTATATATTATTCTAATTACTTTTCACTATTTTAATATAATTAAAGTTTCATTTATTATTGAAGATTATTTCTTTTTACTTTTTATTATTATTTTTATTGTAAAAAGTTATATCCAAATTTATATATTATTACAAATTTTTTATTAACTTTACTATTTTATTAAAAATTTTAAATACATTTTTGCTTATAATATTATTATGAGTTTTTTTTGATATTCTTTTTAGTATTATTGTTTAAAAGTTTTATTTTTCTTTATTTATTATTGGTATTGTAAAATATTTTATTCATTACTTTTTATTAATAAATTTTTTTATATTGCTTTCAATATTATGAATTTTATTATTATAAACTATTAATATTATTTATTACTTCAAAGTTTAATTGCTGTTGTTGGAGTATACTCTTTTGTGTAACCATCTGGTTATATCCAATTTTTTTTGTTAGATTTCCCTTCACGCAACAAAGTGGACGCCCTACCAAGGCATCGAGTGCTAACACGTCCCCTTGCCTTATTGAATGATATCCACAGTAATCGATTTTCCACTTCATTATCTTACCATGATAACACATCTAACAAATCAAGAGTCCAAATGCTCTGGTTGAGCCTAGCTATCCCCGAAAATACACCTTATCTGTTACCACTGTGATATAGAGATATGGAAGTCGAAATTTATGAAAATTTTTTAACAATGTACGGAAGTGTGTTAGGGCTTGATGCACCGTCCAAAGTTAGTTTCGCTTATATTGTTAACCTTCTTTTTCATAGTAGGCATTTCTCCAAATGTTTCTAGGGTTAAGCTTTCCTGGCTGAATGAATGAATTTATAAAAATTGCATTTATTTAAATTGCTCGATTGTAAATAGTTTAATCTGCCTTAAATTTATCAATTTGGCAAGTGGAAATCCTAAACGAAAAGTAAACCATAAAAATTCGTGGGGGGCCACCTAAAAGGCTAGTTGCTATATTTTAAGCTAGTGAACAGCGTTGAGACCTTTTTACTTTTGCGCTTTTGTTGCTTTACCATAATTGGTAATTTTATTCATGCGTACTAATGCGTAATTAGAATATAAAAGTAGTTATAAAAATTAGTAGTATATTCATATATTTATACTATACAAAATATTATGTCTTCGTTTTTTAAAGATAATCGAAAATAAATTAATATTATATAAACCTACTTTTCAAGATTCATAAGAGCATAAATATATTACATAGACTATAAATATTTTAATAGTTTTTATATATAATACGTATAATAAGTAAATGAAAATATTCATAAGTATATAGAAATATTTACAAAAAGTATGGATTTAATATAATATAAAAGTTTCATAACTTTTTAGAGGTTTTTTTTAATGAAAATAAAAAATAAATTTATAATATAATAATAATAACCATAAAAAAGGGGAAAAAATAAATTTCAATGAAAAAGAAGACGACCTCTTTGTTTAAGGCTTCAAAAGTCCCCTTTTCTTTGATTTCTCCATTAAGCATCGTATAAATATAGGCGCACATGTGAGCCACTGAAAAAATGTTTGTACATAAGGAAAATAAGAAGGTTTCATAATTCTATGTGATATTTATTTTTTTTATTTTATTACTATTATATTTATTTTTAAGGAAAAAAATAACGAAAGTTTTTTTTTTTAATAAAAATTAAGATAAAAATAAAATTAATAATAGTCGTAATAATGAAACCTAAATTCTAACAATCCGATTAGACGAAGCACTTCATTAAAGACATGCTTTCCGACATGTGCGTCAATTGCTAACGCCAATAAAAATTAATAAAAATTAATACCAAAAATAAATACAAAAGCGCTTTACAAAAAACAATATGTTTTATATTTATTTAAAAATATTATAAAATATATAAATTTGATATAAAAAAATAATAAAATACAATAAAAAATATTTTATATATAAAAAAGTTATAAACAAAAGGCTTTATTACAAAATTAATTGATAATATTAGAAGTATAAAAAAGTTAAATAAAAAAAATATATAAAAATTAACATTAACTAACATTAATAATTAAAACATAAGGAAAATTTTATAATAAAAAAAGTTAAAAAATTATATATACAAAGGATATATAAACTTTATGTAAATAATATAATAAATAATAAAAAATATAAAATATATAAAACATAAAATTAACAATTTTAAAAAAAAGAAAATTATATTATTTATAATAAAAAAAATATGTTGTATAAAAAGTAATAAAAAAGTTTATCTATAGAATTACATAATCACGATAGAAATAAAGTAAGAACTATTAATAAAAGTTTAATAATAAAATATATAAAACTTAAAAAATACAAATATATATTTATAAGTAGAAAAATTTATATATAAAAAGTATATAAATTTATACAAGTAAAATAACTAAAAAATATTTAATTATATAATAAAATATATTTTATATAAAAGAATATGCACGAAAGAAAAATAAACAATACAATACACATAATAAAAAATAATAATATAAAAATATAAAAACTTTATATAATATAAAAAACAATAAAAATATAATAAAATAAAAGTATTCTATTTATAAAAAGTTAATAGTAATTTTGTGCACCAATAAA